AATATATGATGTAAACATGGCCTGGTGGTTACAAGACCAGTGTTAATATATGATGTAAACATGGCCTGGTGGTTACAAGACCAGTGTTAATATATGATGTAAACATGGCTTGGTGGTTAGGGATGATCGTGGGTTCAAATCTTTGTCATCAAAAATGCTTGCTCTTTCAGGTATGGGGGCATTGTAATGTGATGGTCAATCCCACCAATTGTTAGTAAAAGAGTAGCCCAAGTGTTTACGGTGGATGATGTTGACTAGTTGCCTTCCGTCTGGTCTATCAGTGCTAAATTATGGACGGCTAGTGCAGATGGCCCTTGTGTAACTTTGTGCGAAATTCAAACCAAACTAAAGATTCTAGACTTGTTTTTTAGTTTCTGTATTAGTATTTACTATAATGTTTAATATTTATATACACTGTTTTTGCTGTGTTGGTATAGTATATGAATTTGAGACTAACAGAAACTCGTATACTATCGGGATTGTGGAAGAAAATACCAACAATAACAAGGGTACCCAACTCATGAATGAATTCTAATGTTTTTTATGACATTAATACTCCTAATTAGCCTGATGTACGTTACTTAAGTTGGTTTCTAGTTCTGTTCCGTGCAGATAACTTGCTTTAATTACAAGCTATTAATAATTATGATAAGTTCATACAGTGTTAGTATCTAATAACATTAATTATTATAATATTAAACTTAATGTAACTGGACCATCTTAAGTCGCTGTAATATAAGCTTTGTGATTGAATGTTTGTTGAGTAACGTTTTCAGATTTCTAAGTTAGACAGCCAAATATAAGTTATGGAAATTAACTGAAATTGTATGGAAAATTTATGACAGGTTTTTATTAATTGTTCATGTTGCGTTAATGTGGTGTGCTTGGTTTGCACTTTCAACTCTTGAGTTTCTTACAAGAGTGGCCACTTGACTTGGAAGGTGCTGCTAACCGGTTCCATTCTGATTTAAATTCGGGACGACTGTGCCTGAACCGTGGGGATCACTGGCATAGTCGTTTGGCTTGTTGGTGTATATGAGGTATTGTTGGGTTGGCAAGCATCTTGAAATTAGGTAATGCAGGGTTTTAAATATGCAGGTTAATCAAGGTTGCCACTTCTATACAGAGTTTTAGACATTTTGTAAATAACTGTTTTTATTTATATGCCCTTCAGAAGGACAGTTATAAAAATAAAATAACTACAGTCTTTAAACATTTCAATTTCTTTTTAAACATACAAGTATAAAATCACTAAATAAATGTCTTCAGAATTTTTTATTGTTGTCAAGAAACTCAAAAAGTATTTTTTTCTTCATTTGAAAGGGTGGTCCGAGAAAGAGAGGGAGCACTTGGCACACGAGCTTAGTGACGTTCTGATATACCTGGTACGACTGGCCGACAAATGTCAAGTTGACTTACCGGCAGCTACCAAAGAAAAGATTGCTCTGAACAAGCAGAAATACCCAGTAAGTAAAGTATGGGGGTCGAATAAAAAGTACACAGAATATACAGAAGATGAAATGTGAAAACGTTCGGGAACAGTAAAAAATTTTGACATTCATTTATAATTTGTATATAATAATTAAGACTACGGAAAGACTTTCTGTTCAGCATTTTTTTTATTGGTGCTTGTTCTCCGAGAAAAATTGAATTGTGAAGTTAATGGAATGAGTTTGGAAGGTTTTAATAAAGACACGAAATTTCGAAGTTACTGAGCACAAAAAAAGCTCTTACATTACATTATCTGTTATGAACATCAAATTTGTTGTTTTCTCACACTTTGCGACAAGCAACTCGTGCGTAGCACATAAAAAAACATGAATAAACTTTGTACTTCAAAATTTTTTTCTTTATATATGAACATGCTTTTAAAATGTATGAAAAAAAAAGTATATAGAATTGGCACATGTGGAAAACTGTATACTTAATTGTACGCAGCTAAGCCTATTTGGTGCATATATATTAAGCCTAACAAAATAATTTCTAGTATTCATGTTGGTAAAACGTTTTTTTTTTAAGTATTATTATTTTTTTTTTCTAAGTTTGGATACTTTAAAGTTTTATATGTGAAACAAACGTAAGTTTGGAGAGTATGTGTACCTAATCATCACAGTTTTCTGTAGTGCCATCTGGTGGTTAATTGTTTACAAGGGACTTTTGTCTATAATGTGACTTTCATCTTAAGACACGATGTTTTGTTTTCACTTATGTTTGTATCGTTTTTGTGTATATTTAAGGAATGTGTGGTGTCCTCTAGTGGCAATAAAGTGAACTTCCCTGTTAGTGTAATTTGTATGGTGTTTCAGAATTTATCTACTCCTGCTGTCCAACAATGATTACTATCAATTTTATCAAACTAATGATTACGAGTTATGTGTCTGTTCAAAGTCTTCTGGCAACACTAGACAGACACATGGTGTCCATGTTCCAAACACTGAAATTTATTACAACGTTGTACAAAATTAAGAAAATGATATATAAACCTCTTACTAACTTTTTGAAAACGACCAGATTATTGTGAATGTTTAAAGAACAGTCATTTCTCACCTGTAGATGGCACTGTTAATGACACGTACATTAATTATATTTTTACCTTGATATTTAAATTTTCTAAAGGTCGTCTAAGAATGTACTAGCTCCTGCTTATAACATCAAATGTTTAATGATTTTTTATTAACAAGGAACTGGCTTAATTATGTGGACTTTTTCTTGCTTGGTGCTGTAATATCGGGAGAAGCCATTTTATGAAGTTGTAACTTTGAAGAAACGAGATTCTGTATGCAGTTCTATCGATTAAAATATAAAAGTTTTATAGAAAAACAAGAATTAAGATACATTAAGTAGTTAATGTTTAGTCATTTTTTATGCTGTGTTGCATTAATAAATTGTAAATAAAATTATCGGACTATTCAAGTTTAGAATTTAGATAGAATCAATAAAGCATTTATTTGAACTTATATTTTAAGCATGAGTTGGTCCTGTTGTACAACTCTGGATTATGGAGCCGAGTTTGAATCCTTGTGATACCACAAAATATTCCCTTCACTTTAAGCTGTGTTATAAGACTGACAGTCAATCCCTTAGTATGGGTGGTAGGCTGCCTTCCTTCTGGTGGCTATATTTTTATAATTATCAAAGTTATTGTACAGCTAAAATAGTGTGTTATTCACCTATTATCGTGCATTTTGTCCTGAAATATTTAACAACTTCAAAAGTGATAAAAAATAAAATCTTAAGATATACCATTTAAGAGAGGTACATGAAATAAGTTTTTAGGTAATCATGTATTTATCAAAAAACTGTTGTTATTTTTTACTAATTTCTGGAATACAATTCTCTTAAATAAATATGAAAATATAAATTATTTTTTTCTTAACATACTAACTTAGCCAGAAAGTTTGAATAGCCTTACCAGGTGTGCTAGTAATTTTCAAGGCAACATATCTGTTAATAATTGGATAGATCTAAATGTAATTTTTTTAATGCACAAGTTACACGATTACACCATGACCAATTTAAGGAGCTTTTAAGGAGCTGCAGGAAAGCAAACTTATAAATTTCAGTCACACAAAATGTATTGGTACATGATTTATTTACATATTTATCTTAGGACAGTGGATACTAAAAAAGTAAACAATAACTACAAGTAAAAAAAAAATCACAAAAAATAAAGCAGAATTTCCGAGGAAGAAAGTCCAACTTTTCACAGTATAAACCACTTAATACTCACATTTTTTACAGTACTTAACAAATATAATTAGTGATGTAGTTTAGCAACATTAGTCTCTACAGAGAGTTTTAAAGTACACTATTTATCCAAACAATACTGATATAGTTTTAACTGTACTTAAAATTAGTGAAATATATTCTGTTTTAGGGTTACAAAACAAAAACCTTTTAACTGTTCATTAGGCTTGTAAAGCATTAATTATGTGTAACAAAGATTGTAAAAAATATAGGTCCAAACGTAGATGGTCTTTATTACAAACTTCTGTATACGACTGTTTTAATGCTTGTTAAATATACAGTTATTTGAACCAAAATGAGTAACATAAGTTATAAAAAAACTCGTATTATTGAAATAGCATGCAATATAGTATCCTGAATCAAAAAAATCGTGTTGGTTTGAAGTGTAGAGTCAATTTGACATCACTTTTTAATCAAACTCATCTCACGAAACTAACAAACATATTTACAAATACGTGGTTAATTTTTCCTTTGATTTTTAAACCCTTTCTCTATTACCAGTCTAGCAATAACTTAACATTCTTGATGAAAGTGCCAAACCATTTTTATATTCAATTCAAATAGAAGTATCTCATCCAGGGGTTTTCTTTCATTTTTTTTGGGGGGGGGGGTATTTTTATTTGGTTTCTGATGTAGACACTTTATATCTATAAATATTGTATTCAGAGATATATTTACAAGTATGTCTAAAATGGTACATTTTTCACAGTTACCTAACTCTCAAAGTTATCATCTAGAAATCAAGGATAATACTAACCAATAGAAAGTGCAGCACTAAAAACAACTTTTACAAAATGTATTTGGAAGAAAGGTGTCACAGTTTGAAATGTTTCTAACCAGTTACGTTTGAATGTATTCAACCATTATAACTGGTTTGATTTAGAATCTACGACACTTAAAGAGTTGTTGATATCGTGTTACGGAGCTGGCACAAATCACAGGATTAATTAAACCCACACTGTCATTTGGTATAGTTACTTGTACATTCAACAGTGAACAAATTATTAAATTAGCCCTCTATTTCAGAACAAAATATTTGAAATAATTCAGATGAACCCATATGTTAAGATTTGTAATCAAACAGGGAGTAAATCCTCTTGCACGCTTTGTGTGCTGTAAAACGTTTAAAACTTTCATAGCCACTACGGTATGGTCAAGCAAGCGAATTTCAAATGATTCATGACATAAAGTAGGCATAGAATAAGAAATGATGACTCCGAGTAGTGGTTAGGAAAATTGTTAACTCGTTAGAGCCTCAAATCGAACTGTAACCAGTTATCCGAGTAACTGCAATGCCCCCTATCTGGAAGAAATGTCACTATGAGATACCTAACCTGTAGATTTGAAAAATATATCCATCTATGTACTGGAAGATAAATAGTTAGTAAATTAAAAAACAATATATATTCTAAAACGTATAACACTGGCCCTATAAATATATTACCTATACAATATCTCCGTAAAATGATTGTTACCTAATATTAGTACCTATCAACAAGCAGAAGTGAGCTGGACCTGGGTCCTTTTGATGGTTATTTTGGGCCATTAAATAAAAAAAACCCAGTGGGATTTCCTCCCATAATCCACGAGTCTCCAACCTACAGTTGCTAACATGCATCTGGGCAGAAATCTATAAAGGGGGGGGGGGGTTGCTACTTTTGGAGGAAAAAATAGATAGGGGGCAAAGCCATAGTGAGGGGTGCAGGGGCATGCCCCATGAAAAAATATTGCAGTTTTTACTGAAACTTCTACATTTTGATGTCATCTGAGGTTGTTTTTACACCTTCGAAATGTGTTTTATATAAATATACATGGGTGCAATTTAGGAAGTACCATTTCACCCAACCCCCCTCTGTTTTGTATTGAGCTCCTTACTAAGGCTATGATATCAATGAACACTACCCAACTCATTTATTCTAGCTAAACAAAAAAGCCTGTAATACCTAATAAATTTCATATATAAGCTCTAACCAGAATATCAAACATTCCAGAGTTAGGCTACACGTTACATTATCAATCTGGTTCTAACTAAAATATCAATCATTCTAGAGTTAGTCTACAACTTACATCATCAATCTGGATTTATCCTTTATTCCTAGATAAAAGCTTTAGTTATGTCCAGCTGGTAAATAATTAAGGTTGTAATTCCTCTTTCCATATTTTCATCCAAAAAGTGTGTTCAAAGATTGAAGTTTAACACAATAAATAATCATTACAAATAGGCCTACCTAAATATAATCACATTAATTAAATATTAATATACAAAATTATCCAAAGACAATAAAATTAGTGCACTTTTATGGCGTTTTGATGTGTCGGAACTAATTTAAAACATTACATTACGGAATGCTTGATTATTTCTTTAGTATTATATAGCAACAGTGTATTTTAACCAGGATAACCTGAATGGGGTGAGGTGTAGGTCATAGAGAGTTTAATTTTTTTTTAGTGGGGTAAAACCTGGTATTTCGAGTTATTTTCTCTACTTAATAAACTCTCATAATGACTACAAATATACAGTTCTGTTTACCCCCCACCTCATTTCGCTACCGAGTTGGGGTTTGGATCCTCTATGCTAATGGGTCTCTCCAAATCCCAGGATTGTATTAAAGCTAATATCCAAATTGCACGAAAACTTTTAACCCGATTTTTAGCGTTATAAGCCTCCAGACTAAACGCTGTGCTTAATGTTTTATCCTGCTTTCGTTTTATTTTTTAACTATTTAAGTTACACAATGAATGCAATAAAATGCATATCGTTTAATTACTTTTGATTTAAGGCAAAATATCGTGTAAGTAAATAAAACATTTAGAATCCCAAACGTAATCCTGCAATTTACGCCAATTAAAATACCAGGATTCAGAAAAAGTTCGAGACTGCAACCCCCCACTAACGAGAATACGTCTCTCACAGACAAGTGACTGAATTATGTGAGTAACACATATTGTGAGTTGTAACACTTCCCAACCTTTTAGTCACTGACTTGAAAAAATGTGGGTAACGTGTGCTGTATAATCTTTCTTGCGACTGGTAGCAGGTAAGATCTGAACATTTAATAACCTTGCACTAAATTAATAAATTTATTCACAATGTATATCAAGAAACACCACTCAATTTGCGAAACTTAAGTAAAGCCTAGGGGATTTTTTTCGTCAGTGGGGGTACTTTGAGAGGTATCTGGTAACCATAAGTAAAAGTTACAAGGGCTAACATTTCTAAGCCAATTATTAAACGTAGGCCTATTTACCATATGTCACAATTATAAACTATATTATGCTTAACAAAAAATTTTGGCTTGCAACTAGGCCTAACGTACACTTATAACTAAACTTACCAAGCAAAAGTTAATAATATTACGCTACATATTTAGTCTAAATTTAGAAAAGTCTAAAAGTAAAACTATTTCACTGTTGTAAATTGTTTTTCCGTTATACTTTTCTCATTTTAAAAAAATGACCTTTTAGTTTTAATGACCACGCTAGACCTACAATGAAACTAAACTATGATCTTCACGATATATAAGTTCGAACATACCCATCGCCATAATATAAATATATAAAATAATTAAAGAACTAAAAAAACATTATTTTATTATAAATCTTTAATTATTCGTGTAAATATTTTCAAAGTACGTACGCTTAGTTCTTTTACATAGGAAAAATAGGATCGTCGTTTAGGGCTCTGATGCAGGAACTTGGGAAGCATAAGTTAACAGTTTAATATTTAACATATATTTCGTGTTTAAGAAAATGTAAGTTACATAATTTTTATTTTATGAATTTAGATACAACTATTTCTTTTATCTTTTATACGATATAAATCTGAAACGAATCTTAAAATAGCTAAGCTTCTTAAGACACAGGTCAATACCAGTGACACTAGGGGGAGCTCTAGAAAATTATTATTTCTTTCCTGGCCCGCCAAAGTGGAGGCTATAGATTGTTGAATGACCCCTTTTTCCAAGCCTAATTTACACCTTTTGCACATCCGTGTTTATCACAGTGCAAATGTAGCTAATAATAATAGTTTTGTTAGAAGGCTTTTTTTTCTACAAGTTGAAAAAATTAGTTTCACATAGTCTAAATCTTGACAAAAAAGGGTCAAACATGAGATCCACCCGAAGACCAGCTATTACCATTACAATGAGTGACTTCTCTGTCCGAGCACGTGCTACCTTTTGCACTGTCATTACTGCCACTACGCTGATAGAGGGCGTTTCGGTTAAGTGTCGTACTAGGCGTTCCTGGAGTGCCAGGGCCCATGCCTACATAGCGACCTAGTGGGCCATCACTTCTGACATTCATTTCACCCCTCATGAACCTCTCTAATTTGTCAACACACGCGTCTTGATAGTCGTGAATCCACCTACAATGAGTTAACGTTATCAGAAAAAAGGAAAGACATAACCAAATTTCAGCAAACACTAACGTAAATTATTACGTTGTTTATTATTTGATAGATTGTTTAAGCAAAGTATTCATGACGACATTTATTTGAATGGACAGCAACTGCCCGTTATAGAAATGCAAGTTAGAGGACTACGTTTTTTCAGACGAAAGGCGTAAGTCTTTTGAAACGTCGTTCTTTACACTTGTGTTTTTACAGCAGGCAGTTGCCGTCCATTCAACATATTACGTTGTTGCTTGCTTTACGTTTTTTTATAATATTTAAGTACAGTAGTACAACATGGGCAGCTTAATAAGCACAGGTAATAAAAAAAATCTCATTGAACTGGAAATTTCAAAACTCAGTTGAAGAAAAAATCTTTTAGTGGCGCTGCTATAAAAAGTATCATTATATTTTCTACATATATATCTTTAAATACAAAAGCGTTCAAAATATCTATGCGAGCTAAAGACAAATTTAAAGGTAATTAAAATTGATAAATTTATAGCTTTAAAGTTATTCATATTATCCTGTATTTTGATTTTTAAATTTAAACTGTTTTATAAAGCAAGCAAAGAAAAATATAAAACAAAGTGAATCAAAAAGTGTACAAGTTTTTCTCAATGCTAATTGTAATTCATAACTATAATGGCTAATTATTTCCCACAATCCTAGATAGCGTTTACTTGCTTTCTCGCCCTCTATCGGATACTTATGACAACCAAAACACAGTGTTCAATTTTAAAACGTAAGAGATGCCCTATACAATAACAGAGTTAAATAATCAATTGTTTGATTGATTATTTCTAGGATTTATACAGGAATGACGTTTCGTAAATATATCTTAGTTTAATTTTAAATAATTCTAACTTAGTCTATTAAGATGTACAGGTTTATGCAATGAGTAAAGTTTTTTTCAAAATATACAGAGTGATAAGAACGTAAAAAAAAACAACTAACTAAACTACTTGAAATAAAAATAACTTGTAACATTTAAGTCGAGAGATGGCGACACTAACCTAACTCCATTGAAGTAACATACTGCTCTCATGTCCTCCGGTAGAGTTTCTGGCTCAGGCCATTGAAAATTGTCTAATATAGGAATGATATTACACTGACTGTGAAGCGCTTCAACGACTTCCTGTTACAGGAAAAAGCAGGAAATCAGTCTTTAAGATATAATAATTATACCTCAATAACAATATAAAGTAACTTATAGCTGGCGAACGTATAACAAGCTATATATAAATAGCTTTCTTTTTTTGCTATCGTTTGCCAGTTGCCTGTAAGGGCGGGAAGACGATGGGGTGACTTGAATAAATTAATTGAATTATTATATGTTTATTTACTTGGTTGTATTATAAGCAGGATGTACATATAGGCTTCATGTTAAAAAAAAAACAAAACACGTTTACCGTTCAAGCATCATTACAAAAAAGTCCCCACAATTTATCAATGTCGTCAAATTAGATTGAAAAATTGTACCCCTGGCACTATACGTTTCTGGAATAATGTTAGGCCTAGTGTTTTATGTATGTGTCGCTGCTTCTAACTATGCGTGTCTTTTTAAATGAGAATATAAAGGACCTTAAAGACATCGAAATATCAATTATTGTCCAGACAAACCAGTAATATCTCATAAAAACAACAATATAAAAGGATATAATTATTTATTTAAAACGATAATGTTAAAACAGTTTAAACTTACTGATGATGTGAAAGCGTTTGTTTTTTAGGTAATTACGTCGAAAGAACGAGAACTAAAAATGAATCAACAAATGAACGCAAACGAAAGTGTTTTTTTTTTTTAATTAATACTATAATTGTTAATAACTTATATTATGAAGCACTCTTAGGACTAATCAGTTCTTAATATATTAATATTCAGTTAGAAAACTTCAATAGTCTTTAATGGTTTAGCAAAAATAATTGAGACTGAATACCTTAACCCGGTAAAAACTGGATTAAAATATTTCACATACGATTAATAACTCACGATTCACCTGTAAACGTTAACTTTAATACTTTCCCTATCTTACACGCTATTGGCTGCTAAGTGGTGACGTTTCAATTCGTGGTTCTTATCTGACAGGATTATAAAGTTTAATAACCTCAAACCTGAAATGAGCAAGTCTTTCTAAATTCTTCACATTATATTAAATCACTGTTAAGAAATTCATGGCTAATAAAATTATTTCAAACTTAATTTTATCATTCTTACGATATTTTTTTATCTTAAAAAATATATAAAAATATCATAATTAATTGGGAAATAAAAATATAGTTATTAACGCACAGTCCTCCATAATAAAATGCTGTAAGTAGGTGTAGATTAAAAACACACATAGGAGAAACACTTGAATGTCAGAACATGTATGGGTAAAACGTGAAACAGAAATGTTATGGTAAAAACGCCTTTTGCTGGCGAAGAGTGATTATAATAAATTATATTTTTGTCACAAGATGATAGTGTTAGGCTTATTGTATTTTTAAACATTGCATTCTTCATTAAGTATTTTAGGTTTTTTTTCCAAGAAGAAAAATGTATAGGTCCACCATATTTTAATTTGTTTGTTGTAATGCACGCAGCTACACAATGGGCTATCTGTGCTCTGCCCACCACGGGTATAGAAACCCGATTTTTGGCGTCGTAGGACTGCAGACTTACCGCTGAGATCGCCACCACATCTTATCTAAATATAATTGAACACATAACTTGCTTAAATTAATACTTTAAAATTTAGTAAAATACTCAAATAAAACATTTAAAATTGATCTGGTGCACTGAGAGAATTGGTCGTTTAACTACAAAATTCTCAATAATGATTATGTATTATACAATTGGAAATCTTTTCGATTAAAACCATTTAACTGGCGAAATGGATCGAACTTCGAGTTTTGGTGCCTTATAAGCTCTTAATCTTACCGCTGAGCTGCCCAGGAGCCCAGCGAAGTAGCATGACACTTGAAACAAACCGAAATTAGGTAGTTTGAATAACGACAGGAAAGTGAAATATAATACAACAGCAATAAATTAATTGTTCTTGGAGTAATTAAAACGCTCTTACCCTATGAACCCAATCTTTACAATCGGCGTCTCCCATACAGCGATCTAAAGCGTTTGGAGTTAGGACCAGAAGGAAATGTTTGGCTTGTCTTATGCTGTTGAGAAGGTTGTTGTCAAATTTTCCCGCCTCCAATCTCTCTACGTCGATAAACACGGAAAAACCTCGCAACTGGAGGTGTACCTTCAGCAAGCTGTGCCAAGAACAAGAACGACCACAATTCAATCAATGTCAAGCGAGTTAAAAGATATATTGTTTAAGTATTAAACAGTTGATTGAAAATAACAACGTAAAAGTAAAAACCAAACAAATGTTTTTGTTAAAACCAACAATAATTCTGGGAAAGTGAGTGATAAATTAAAAAGTCAGTAACCAAGAAATCTTCTGGTAAATAATACGATCGCTGGGTTCTGACATCTCTCAAAACGAGACTGATAATTGTAACTAAAGACCACTGTTTGTGCTTTATTGTCAAGTAAATAACAACGTTTTTTACGTTTATTATTTTCCTCTTTAAATATATAGATACATTTGTTTTCTGCAGGTAGTATTTGGGTTCGAATCCTGGTAGCTTCCTACGAATCGCTTACCTGGCTAATTGGGAGCCGTTTGACCTTCGGTAGCTAATGAAGACGTCCAAACTTTTACTGCTAGTGATGTCCTCTTCGCTGCCGGTTCGAGACTGTGCCAAACCTTCCCAGAACAAACAGAGGTAAGATTGGTTAGTTGAATTAGGGCAATACGCAAACTAAAAGCTATGAACGTTTTATTTACAGATTCTTAATATTCTGTTTTATATTTCTGTTTAGGCATCAGTATCTTTGGGGCGGGACTGGTGAATGAACACAAAAACGGTGACTGATTAACACTGTAGATCACGTTGTTAAGGGGACTGGTCATCCTTGATTGTCTTTCACGTGATAACATTACAAGCATTTTATTGTTGAAATATTCATAAAAATGTGCCGATTACAAGAAACATTGTAAATACACCAAACAGATTGTTGTGTTAGAACTAACTTAAACACAAACAGATCTATTGTAACTGTTACACTCCATTGTTGTGTTAGAACTAACTTAAGCACAAACAGATCTATTGTAACTGTTACACTCCATTGTTGTGTTAGAACTAACTTAAACACAAACAGATCTATTGTAATTGTTACACTCCATTGTTGTGTTAGAACTAACTTAAACACAAACAAATCTATTGTAACTGTTACACTCCATTGTTGTGTTAGAACTAACTTAAACACAATACAGACCTATTGTAACTGTTACACTCCATTGTTGTGTTAGAACTAACTTAAACACAAACAGATCTATTGTAACTGTTACACTCCATTGTTGTGTTAGAACTAACTTAAACACAAACAGATCTATTGTGACTGTTACACTCCATTGTTGTGTTAGAACTAACTTAAACACAATACAGACCTATTGTACCGTTACACTATACTGTCTCATAAAAACACAATTAACAGACCAAATCCTAATTTTACACTACTGATATTGTTGCATAAAGATATAATAAACAGACCAAATCTCCTAATTTTACACTACTGATATTGTTGCATAAAGATATAATAAACAGA